GCAGAGAAAATCCGTATCGTTAAATAATGAGAGGGGTTCTGAATTTATAGGAAGTAAAGAGAATCTGAAAGAATAAACAAATTGAAAGGACAAAAATGTTCGTTTACCAACAATTACCAGTAAAGTTTATTGAATTGAATAAGATCAGTTAATCAAACTAATTAATCTAACCATTACCCCATGAATTCAACCTTGCAAACTTGGTTTTGAATTTGAGTTGAAATTCAGAAATCAGTTCATTGTAGGGCCGAAAATTTGTCTGTCCCGTCCCTGTCCCGTCCCTGTCCCTGTCTGACCCGTCCCTGAAGGGTCAAGATGTATAACCGTCCCGTCCCGTCCCTGTCTCCTTCTTGACCCTGTCTGACCCTCAAGGGTTGGGACGGGACGGGACGGGACGGGACGGGCTGGGTTAGTGGGTCGACCCTAATCAACACACTACTTTTTTACAAATTACGTTTTGGTACCCAAAATTATTTTTTCTTACAATTTAGTACCTAAAATTTATTTTTTTTACAAATAAGTCCATAAATTTTGATGGTAAAATTACGTTTTGGTACCCAAATTTTTTTATTTTTACAAATCAGTACCTAAACTTTTAAAACTTTACAAAAAGGTCCAATGAAGTATGAGATATTTGTTGTTGCTAAGGGTCACAGAGTCAAAACGTGACCCGTCCCTAAGTTGTCCCGACCCGTCTCGGCCCTTACTGGGTCAACAAATGACTCGTCCCTAATCTGTCCCTGTAGACAAACTGACCCGTCCCGACCCTTAGGGACGGGACGGGTCGGGACGGGTCAGTGGGTTTTCAGGGACAAGCTTTCACCCCTAGTTCATTGGATGGAGATGGTGGTAGAGAGATAGACAACCATCGGGACGGGTCAGGACGGGTCAGTGGGTCTTCAGGGACAAGCTTTCACCCCTAGTTCATTGGATGGAGATGGTGGTAGAGAGATAGACAACCAAAACCAATGCTCGAACCCTAACTATATTTGGTTTAGTATAATAGCACGGTAGCACCTCATAAGGATGATGGCTGTGGCCCTCAACGTACAAATGAAAGGGCCCAAACCAACTTGGGCCAGTCCGAGATAGGCCTGTGTGACCAGATAGACTTCCACACTGCTGGGTTCCATTTTATACCCCTCTCCTCTCCTCTATCTCCCCCCCCCCCCCCCCCCTCACTTGCCTAGTTTGCTAGCATTTGTAAAACCAAACCCTATCAATAACACTAGCTTTTTACCTGTGTGACCAGATAGTATCATGTCCCAAACTCCGATTAATTCTTTGTCTAAATAGCAAAACTCAATGGGGCGTACAGTAGGCTAGCGTACGCCCGGACGTACGCTAGCCTTTGCCATATATATATATATATATGGTGAGTTCTACGGTACCCATGGTAAAATCCAGGGTACCACATACCGTGAGTATGAAAACACTATTTAGATCATGAATTGATTGATCTTTCGGACATAATACTATACTCTAACCCTTAAAGATCAAAATCTAGGTCTTAGTTCTCTAAATCTAATACTCCAAGATCAATTTAATTAGAATAATAATCGACGGTTATGATTCGTCCAAATAAAGGCAAAAAATGAATGCACCATCTTAGGGTTTATAGTTTATAATTTAGATAATTAGGAACTAGGGTTCACTCATTAAGGGTTAGGGTATAGTATCAGGTTCAAAAAACATGTTAATTTAAGGTCTAGATAGCATTTTCATACTCAAGGTATGCGGTACCCTAGATTTCACCCGGGGTACCGTAGAAGGCACCATATATATATATATATATATATATAAGACTCAAAATTATTTAGAGATCTCGCTTTTACCCCCATAACGCCAAACAACCATTGGGGTTGTCTATCGTTCGATATGTAATATATAAAGAGGCAAATACTAAGATCCTACTATTTATTTCTTATCCTCTCCCGCCATCCTCTTTATGGAGAATAAAAAGGTAGGGATGACAGGATCATAGCTCGATATGGTTTTATTATGTTCATCGTATCGGAGGTTATGTTCTTTTTTGCTTTTTTGGCTTCTTTTTCATTCTACTTTAGCACCTATGATTGTGATCAGAGGTATTTAGCCCTCGAAAGGGATTGAGATTTTAGGTCCTTTGGAAATCCAATAAACATTCATGATCCTCGAGTTTGGACGAACTCTCGACCAATGTTGTAGAAATTACGACTTTTTAGTGAGAAATTCTTAGTAAAGATAATTCATTATTGGATTTATTCATTCATATTGAAACTTGACACACACTGTAGCCCTCATGATGACTAAATTCTCTAATATCGACTCATTTCCATTTTGGATGTTTGTTTTTTTTATCCAGACACTTAAATTTAGTATATTATACAATATGTATCAATTGTTAATTCTTGAAGTTTATACTAAACCTCAACTGGTGGTCATTGTTTATATGTTGGCTTAAAATCTCAATCTAAGGCACTCACACACACAATCGAGGATTTTGGTCTTAACATGGTCATTGAATGTGTAATTTTCAAAAAATTTATCACTTATATATTAATAATTGATAAAGAGTGTCTCCAATACACACATATTTTAAATGCATTTAAAATGTCTTATCATTTGAACAATATCAGTGTATTTCATTTGATTATTTGCCATAACTTATTATCTTATACAACATATACTAATTCGTGTTTCTCAAGTCTAGAGGAACTGACAACCAATTTTAAGATTTGAGATTATTGGATAAAGATACTTGATTGCTGGATAAGTATGTTTATCCCAATTGACGATCTTACTAAAAATTGCCAACCTTTATTTGGTAAATGCCTAGGTTAGTAGTTGATGAAACGTGATGTTTTTATCGTAGATTCTGAACAAAGATTTTTCTAACCTTCACATCTATTATTTTTCAAGGAATCTTGTGTCTCATCCTAAAGTATGAAATCAAAGTTCGTCAACAATCATACTTAAGTCATTTTGAAAATTTTGATTTATAATCATCGAAGATAACTCCAAGTATGAAAGAAAATTTCTTAGCATACGACTTAGAACCTCAATAGAGCCTGCTCAATCAACATGATATAGAGCAAATATTATTAATGTGAACTTAGGTCACATTATCAAATTATTGCATATGCGATTCCTCTTCATTTGAGAAATTTAAGGTTGAACATGATCTGAATGAATAAGAATTCTTTTAAAATAAATAACTGTAACTATTCGATCAAGATTATACTCTGACATTTTGCTAAATAATACTGTTTTATTTTATAGATATATATTGTACGAATAAGAGAGTGTTTCATTGCAACAAAATATAAAGTAATATAGTTTATTTTTCAAAGGTAATTGAATGTCAAATGTTTATTTTCTCTCTTTTCATATATATTTTGGTTTAATCGATTAAAAATAATTGTTTATGTGTATGTTTGTTTATTTTTTCATCAAAATGTAACTTATCATTGAATTTTAGTAAAAATGAGTAGAAAATCTATTTCATAAGGTTTAATAAGATATTTTTTATTTAAATAAATGTGACATATGTCACTCTCTGTTTTCTTATTTATATTTTGTTTATTTAACAAAATATTATTATTTATATGTGTTTGGTTAAGTTTATCAACATGTAACTTATTATTAAAGACAAAAAAGAATAAATGGATAAATAAAAAAGAATAATTGGATAAAAGAAATGGAAATATTAAAAAAGAGAGAGGTAGCTCCATAAATACATTAATAACTAATTTTTGTTTGTAAAAAAGTTGTCCAACTTGGCAAATTGTGGATCCACCGAGTGCTTATGTGGCAAGATTTTTTTTTGAATTTCCATAATATATATTTTCATATATAGTTTGGTTTAATCGATTAAAACATAATTGTTTATGTGTATGTTTGTTTATTTTTTTCATCAAAATGTAACTTATCATTGAATTTTAGTAAAAATGAGTAGAAAATTTATTTCATAAGGTTTAATCAGATATTGTTTATTTAAATAAATGTGATATATGTCACTCTCTGTTTTCTTATTTATATTTAGTTTATTTAACAAAATATTATTATTTATGTGTGTTTAGTTAAGTTTATCAACATGTAACTTATTATTAAAGACAAAAAATAATAAATGGATAAATGAAAAAGAATAATTGGATAAAAGAAATGGAAATATTAAAGAAGAGAGAGGTAGCTGCATAAATACATTAATAACTAATTTTTTGTTTGTAAAAAAGTTGCCCAACTTGACAAATTGTGGATCCTCCAAGTGCTTATGTGAAAAAAAAAAAATTTGAATTGTCATAATATATAGTATAGATAGATAGATAGATAGATAGATTAATCAGAATTTTCTTTTACTGGAGTCTAAATTAGCAGGTGAATTTTAATGATGTGAAACGAATAATCCACGATTTAATATTAAATATTAAACTGCTAATTTTTTCTATCCAACCTCCTATACGATTTTACAATCATTGTTTTCGAAAGCATTCAGTGCTCACCCTCTTCCGAGTTTTGGCAGCTTCTCATTTGTCACTTCACTTAGCATGTCACAAATTGACACCATTCTACATAGCTCATCACAGACAGGCTTAGTACCAGACTTGAGAAAAGAAAACAGAGTGTCAGGTAGTATGTCATGTAGCTTTCTTGAAAATGGCGTTTCTAAATGAGACTTCCATAGCCTATAAACTCCATTCATTCAAACTCCAATCATCGCAGTCCACATGAAAGTGGAAACAAGGACCACGTAAACCCTATCAAAGACCAAGTCCTAAATCTGTATAAATCATCTCCTGATCTGGAATGTTTCAGAAAGTTACACCACCAAATCACATCACCAATTTGAGATTAACTGTCCACGAACATTTACATCCACATCTACAAGTATAATCAAATGTACGATTCACTGTGACAAAATCAAAACAGAGACCACAAACAGTTCCCAGCTACAAATTAAGTCCAATCCCAAGATGCTAATATCGACGATCAACTCTTTGCCACGATGTACCTATATACGCTTAAATAGAATAATTCCAGAGAATCAATGGATCAAAACAGCTCCCTTCATCTTCTTCTTCCTCCGCCTGAACATAATCCGGCGGAGGGATTAGAAGCCCTTCCGCGAGCCCGGCGATCAACCCGTGAACATCAAATATCGCTTCTTCATCCACAAAGCAATAAGTACTTCTCTTCTTCTCCTCCTTCTCTTCATCGTTACTATCTTCACCAAAATCCAAATCCTGATCCGATCCGGATTCCCAGCCCCGGAACATCTCCGCCGCCAGGGCAGCAGCCTTCCTGACATCCCCTGCCTCCGCCGAAACCGGCACGGGAAGCCTCCAGGCCGAATCCGCGAAGTTGAGACACGCGGACACCCCGCGGAAGGCCAGCGCCGCCACGTCATGAGCCCGGGCCGCCATTTCCGGAGTCGGGTACGAGCCCAGCCAGATCCGCCTGGAGTTCCGGTTCGGGTCGCGGAGCTCGCAGACCCACTTGTCGTTGTTCCTCCTCCGCACACCCCTGTAAACCGGGTGCCTCGTCTCCTTGAACACCCGCCGACCCGCCCGCTTCTTCGGGTAATCCGCCGCCACTCTCACCGCCGCCATCTCTCGTTGGGAATCACGAAAAGGAGCCGGCTTTCTTGAAATCTTTCTGGCTAGTAGTGGAAGTTATGAAGTAAAAGTTGTGTGATAGGTTTTGTTAGATATATATAATGGGGATTTGAATTTGAGTGTCAATTTAGTAGGGAACTGCGAGCTACGTCATGGACACGGTTGGGACAAAGAGGGGAAGGTCGAAGAAGGAAAAGCCGTTAAGTGAGTGAACAAGTGGTAGTTTCTCTTTTGGGATGTTGTCATTTGACTGGTTGAGTTGACGTTTTGGTGAAGGACAGCTGGTGCATGACGTGTTGGACACGTGTATCTATCTGTGTGTCTTGTGCTGGAGAGGGAGCATGATGAAAGTGAAGTAACAACCCACGTGTCTTTTTTAGAGATACTTGGTTGGATTTTGTTATTAAAATAATAATAGTGACTTGTTTTTGTAGGGGTTGAGTTTTGGAGTTTTGTGGGGAAGTTTTAACAAATGTTGGGGGATCGGAGCTTTGAGGTCCTACTACTTGTTTGGGAAGTAATCCTAACAAGGAAGGAGGAAGAGATAATGATATTATTATTGGAGTGGTTTATCGGTTTGAATGCTTATTTTGTCACAATCTTTGACATGTTTACTTTCACATTATCAATTGACTTATTTCTCGGGTTTACTAATTAATTAATATTACCAAGTGTATTAAGTAAAATATTCAACATTGAAAGAAGTATATTAGGAAAGTCAAATAAAGGATCGGAAGTGATTTACACAGCTAGTCAGTTAAGTTGTGATTATCGTTTGGACCGCTAATTACCTTTTTGACTAATTATAAAAGTTGCTAATTTGTTCAACCGTTGCTTTGCTTTGGCTAATCCTATTGTTGTGCTTAAAATGATTATATATGGTCGGTTAGTGTCCCAACAGTAAAAGCTCTTCCTGCTTCCTGGTGCTGGGCCTGGTATCTGATTAATATTTCTTCTTTTGGGCCGTAATTCAGCCCTGGCATGGTCCCAATATTATATTGGACCCGACATCTGTCTATACTCGCACAAAGCGGAAGAACATTTTTAAGGGCCTGTTTATTTTCATTTCTGTTTCCTGTTTTTGAGAAAAGTAGAAAACAGATGATGAAAACAGGTGAAAACAACATTTTGTCGTTTCCGAAAACAGCAGGGAGTTGCCACTTTTTGTTTTCATAGTTGGAAACGAATAAAAAACAGAATGAAAAGTAAACAAGTATTCTCGTTTCGATTGCCAAATTTATGACATAAAAACAGAAAACAGGAAATGAAAATAAAAGTGAACAGGGCCTAAGGAACGGCCAATACTACGGTGCCGCTATAAAAACTGCGATTGGGCCACATGGAGCTGATGTGACATGTGTATAACTTAATTAAATCGGTCCAAACTCAATGGCCCATTAGAAATGGCCTAACCCAGCTACCGTCAAACTAACGGACGTCTTCCACCGATGGTTTAATTGTTTTCTTTTCCATTTATTTAACATTTAACTGCATTCATTATTCTCCTGAAAGAAAACAACAACGAAAAAGCAAACACCATGAACATCTTCCTCTATATCTCGCTCGCTGATTCTGAAAAAAGCGGAGTGCTCCGGCGAACCGATCAACACCTCCATACCCTGCACTAAGTTCTTAACTGTATTCCTCCTCCATTGATTGTGTGTAAAACAAAAGAATGAATCCCTGGTTTCGAGCGGCCCTCTGTCTCCGTCGAAGAACTCTGTTGATACCGACGAAGGCAAAGGAGGTGTGAATCGCCCTCCGCTTCAGCGTCCCCTCGCTCTGCACTGGAATTTCGGAGACTGACGGTAAGTGCAGGCATGTCCATGGGGACACTGAATCAGGGCAGCAGTATGCTAAAGTTGTTAACCCTCATTTTAAGCTGGTGTTGGTACACCTATCTGTTCTTACTTTCATAAATTTATATCATCGAGGTTAAGTTTGCATTTGAACCCCGCTGATTCCATGTGTCTTCTTATAACGCAGATTTATTCACACAACTACACTTCATGTACTTGTTAGAAGTTTAAGTACCAATTTGCAATTGTCCAAAGTAGGGTTAATAGCTTGTATATATACGTGTGTTGTATGGCCGCCTAGGTCAAGGATTTTTGGTGATAATAAGAACTCTCTGCCGTAGTGCCGTGGACTAGTCTCAACGATCATCGTTGGGGAAACCACGTAATCTCGTGTGTTCGTGTGATCCTCGTATAAGAACTCGTGTGTTTAACATGGTATCAGAGCCTGCCGCTCTTAGCGTTTGAGTTGTTCGGGTTCGTGTGGATTTTTGTGTGCTGGCTGCGTTGGCTTCGTGAGTATCCTGATATTATTTGGGTCGTGTGCGCTTAAGGCTTTTGTGGGCAGGTTGGGTTTCTGGAACTTGCTTCTTGTGCTTGGGATTTTTGTTTATTCTGGTTTGGCCATTATCTTGTGTTCCCCTGCCGCATCGTATTCATGGAAGGCTCCAAGGTTGATCCGATCTCTGTTAAGTTTACGGGCAAAAATTTTGCTTTATGGGAATTTCAATTCCGCATTCACATTCAAGGGCGCCGACTGCTGCATATTCTCGATGGCTCCTCTAAGGAGCCTGCTGTTGATGCTCTCGCGAAAGAAAAAGCTGACTGGGCGGCGAACAATGCGATGGTCATGTCTGCATTGCTGGGTTCGGTGGATCCTGGAATTGCTCTCAGTTTGAGAGGTTTTGCTACTGCTGGTGACATGTGGAATCATCTCACGAAGTTGTACTCTAAGGCAAGTGCGTCCCGCAAGTTTGATGTGGAACAAGATCTGGCCGTGCTTCGTCAGGGCGATTGGGACATCAGTTCTTACTACCAAGAGGCGGTCACCCTTTGGACTGAACAGGATCTTATCCTCAGCTCGCTTGCACCTTCTGCTGTGACGCCGGAAGTTCTTCAAGAGAGGTCTGGTACCCGGGTTATGAGATTTATTATGAACCTCCGTCCCGAATTTGAGGGCATTCGTGCCTCTCTCTTACATCGTGATGTCACCACCATGGAGGAAGTTCTCTCCGAGCTGCTGCGGGAAGAGACCAGGTTGAAGAGTCTTGCTAAGCTCGACCTCCATGCTGCTGATCCTGGCGTTGCGTTTGCTGTTCGTCCCAGTGGGAAGCCTCAGTTCCATCGCACGGCTAAGGGCGAGATCATATGTCACTACTGCAAAGCACCGGGTCATATTCAGTTCCATTGTCCTAAACGTAATTCATGCAACTACTGCAAGCTGGATGGTCATCTTATTCAAGCATGTCCCACACTTGCACAACGGGGTCGTTCTAGATCGGGTGGCCCTCGTGGTGGCCAAGGTCGCTATGCTTCCGGAAGTGCTTATGCTACGACGTCGGGTGCGGCTGGTTCTTCAGGTTCGGTGGCTGCCACCCTCACGCCGGATGATGTTCGTAGTCTTGTGCAAGAGGCCTTGAAGGATGCTTTGCCTACTGCCTTAACTTCAGCTTTTTCTACGGGTACGGGTTCTTCTTCTCACTCTTCTTGGCATATTGATTCTGCGGCATATAATCATATGACGAGCTTGCCCAAGGTGTTTAGGTGGCTAGCTCCGTCTAGTACGTGTTTGGATTTACAGGCTGCTGATGGGTCCCGAATGGCTGTTGTGGGAGTTGGTCATGCTCGTCAGCCTAATATATCCCTCCCCGATACTCTATTTGTTCCCAAACTCGTTCCTAGTCTTGTTTCTGTGGGTCAGTTGGCAGAGGATGGTTGTCGGGTAATATTTGATGCGGATGGATGTACTGTGCAGGACACGAGGACGGGGCAGGAACTAGGGAGAGGGAGTAAGAAGGGTCGTGTCTTTCTGCTGGATTATTACTCTCGGGCACCTAATGGGAAGATTGGAGGAGACTCGAAATCCTTGCAGGCTGGGAAGATGGACTCGTTACCAGTAGAGAGTCGAGAAGATTATTCAGCAGATAGAAAGTCCCCTAGCAACATTTCTGATTTGTCGGGTTTCTCTGTTAAGTTATCAAACTGGGATTTGTGGCATTTTCGTTTAGGGCATCCTAATTCTGTTAGACTGCGTACTATGTTTAAGAATAAGTGGTTATCTGGTGGGAATGCTATTGATCAGGAGCATGAGTGTGTTCATTGCTTGCAAGCCAAATTATCACAGAGTTCATTTAATTCTAGTGAGACTGTTTATTCAGCTCCATTTGATCTTGTGCACACTGATTTATGGGGTCCTTCGCCAGTGACTTCTCGTATGGGCTTCCGGTACTTCGCCCTGTTCGTTGATCATGCTACGCGGTTCACCTGGGTTTTCTTTCTGCGCCAGAAGTCTGAAATGCTCACGATCGCGCAGGAGTTTCTTCAGATGGTATCGACACAGTTTGGTAAGACTGTGAAGATTCTGCGATCGGATCCAGGAGGTGAATTTACTTCACATCCTTTGCAGGCTTTATTACGTGACCGGGGTATTCTCATACAGCAATCATGTCCCGGCGTATCCCAACAAAATGGGTTGGTGGAGAGGAAGCACCGTCACGTGCTCGAACTTACTCGGGCTATTCTTTTCCACTCGCAGGTCCCCTCTGGGTTTTGGGTGGAGGCAGTTCACACGGTGGTTTATCTAATTAATCGTCAGATCACGTCTGTTTTGCAGGAACGTAGTCCTTATCAGGCGTTATACTCTAAACTTCCGAACTATGGATGGCTTCGTGTGTTTGGGTGTGCTTGTTATGTTCTTTTGGCTCGCAGGGAACGGAATAAGCTCACTCCAAAAGCTGTCCGATGTGTTTTCCTTGGCTATAGTGACAAGCATAAAGGTTATGTTTGCTATGACGTCGGTAATCGACGTATTCGCATCTCAATACACGTTGTTTTTCTCGAACATATTCCTTACTATGCTTCGTTGGATTCTATCACATCACCACCGCCGAATCTTGATTTTCTTCAGGCTGTAAGGAAGTGGTTAAGCACCATACACGGGCCTGTATAAGATCCAGCATAACCTTCTCCCAACAACTC